GCCGGTAGCCCCAGAGATTGTCCCAACGAGTTTCGTGAACCTTTGGACTCACAAAGGGCCACTGATGTGCACAGTGTCTTCACCATTTGTTGGCACTGGCGGATCATTGACTGAACTGGAAGGCGTTACTGCCAGACAAAACAGGTGCCTGGTTCTGAAGCTGAAACTGGAATCCAGGCATTTTTCGCGTCTCCTTCGGAAGTATCCATTGGTACTGGCTGGAACCTACTGACTATTGCCAACTGGCTTCTGATTTTGATGGTGCTTCCAACAGATGGGATGGGTTCCCAGTTGCACCTTTCGCCTCTAAATCCGGACTTGCAAACTGTTGGGCGATCTCAAACAAGTTGAAACTCTCATTTCCCCAGAGATTTGGCGCCGCCATCTCCAGGCCAGGCTGTTCTTGTTCTGAAATCGGAAGCTGGTTTTGTGGGCGACCGCGACGCCGAACCGAGTAGGGATGAGAACCCACAGGGATATGAACCCACCGGTGAACCTTAGGGGAAATACTCGGCATTTCCGTGGTCTTCGGTTTTCCATTGCGATGGGCCGTGTGCGATGGGGTCGCCTTTGCGGAGCGCTGGGCTTCATCGCTCTGAGCCAGGCAGTACTGGTGATGCTTGGTCCCTAAGAGTATGGACCTTTTTGGACCTGGTGTCCATCCATTTATTTGATTGCATGTATTTTGTTTGCGGTCGGTGCACATGGCTTTATACATATATATATATATACAGATGCATACACACATATATATATATATGTTATATTTATACAGAAGTCTTTCTTGATTTCAAGCCGCGTATGTTAGGTGCCTACTTAGTCAAAGGATTTCTTTTCTTAGTCATGGATTCCTCCTTGACCCCCTTGTTTCCGCCGGTTACGCGAACTGTGCTCACCACTCATTGCCAGATCTCATGTGAGGATGTCAATCGCTTCACTTTCGCTGGGAACATTTGAAGCAAGCCCGCGACGGCTGCAGTGGTGGCGAAGGGAGGGGGCGACGACCATGATCGTATGGGCGATCTACGCCGCCGCGGTGCTGTTGTTTTTGCTGCCGATTCCCATCAGCTGGGTGTACTGGGTGTGCTATATTCGGCACACACATGAGCGGGTGATACCTGGCAATGTGATTGTCCCAGAGGAGCACGGTTCAGGGATATAGGGGTTGACCCTTTTCTGTGATGCCATGTTAAAAGTGACAAGGTAGTCATATGCCCTCATAGGCATTGCTCATTTTGGTGTCACATAAAGGTTGATTCTCCACAACCAACCCTGAGGATCTCAAAGGAAGCTGGAAATATGGTCTCTTTGACGGCACAAGCTGCGGCACCTGTCTCTGCTTCGTTTTTTGTGCCTGGTGCTCTATAGGAGCTCGGCATCGGCATTCGGAACGCAACATACTTTCGGAGTCGTGCTTCTGCAATCAATCATGATCAAACATGGTCAAACCGACACCAAACGCATTCAACCTTATGTTGACAATGACACCAACATGCAACCACCCATTTTTTGCTCATGCACGCCAGCATGCAGACAAACGTGCTGTTAGTACCATTTAATTATTCCAATTGGATTTTAACACGGCCATGTAACTAGCTTGCAGCTTGGTTCATACAAGCATATTTCTAGAGATTGTTTGGCATTTCGCTGCAATCAGGGTCTTGTTTGTCGCCGACCTGCTCGTTGCCATAGTGACCTTGCGTTGAAAAACATATTTGGATCGAATCAGTTGTGGCTTTGTTTTAACTCCCGGCTTTACTGCGGGCCTTGGGACGGATTCACATGAGGATATGTATTTGGGTGCCTAAGTATCAAATTCGGTGTGATCAGTATAGTATGTTTGACACCAGTTGTGTGTGTCAGTTAAGGCAGTCATTGGTCTGGTGTTGATTGGGAAGGAAATTGGGGGGGGAGGCCCTCAGGGGCATATTAGGCATATAGTTTGTCGAGGAATCACGCATGAGTTCCCCCTTCTCAGGTCGGCCAAACCTCATGCGTCAAGCTTGGACCTCTTCTTCATGGTTGTTGTTGGGAAACATTTTGCATTTTTGCTCATTGGGGTTTAGTGGTTGAAATCCCACTTAGCTGCTAAAATTGATTCTTTTGCTCCCCTTCCAACGTCAACCAAGTCTCTTATTTTGATGGGTCTGAAGAGCAAGTTTCAGAGACAGCCATGAGAGCCCAAGTCTTCGACGCTGCCACCACTCGTTTTTTTGGCGGAAAGGAGCAAGCCTCGGGATGGCTGGCTTAGAATCGCCCGCCAAGTCTTCCTTTTAAAAGACCGGACTGGCGTGTCCACTAGAAGCGGTTGGTTTCCTTTTTTTTTCTGCGCCATCCACGACAACACCATTCCCAGTCTTCAGACAAACCCAGACTTCGGGCCTTCTCCTAGAGTATGCGGAGAAAACCAGGAAGTCCCTGGTTACGTTGGAAGTATTTGGACTTCGAAGGGCGGCACATGTTGGTTTTGTGTTCGATGTCAGACTTGTTTTCATCATCAGGGGGCCTTGATGGTGTTGCTGTTTGGCGCAAGGACTGGTTCCCAGTTGTCCTATGAGTTCCAGTTCATTTGCTTGCCTTAGGGCAGGCTTCCATCAACCACTGCAGAAAGGCTTTGATTGATTCCATAGCCACTTGGCAATCGAGGATTAACAGGACTGGTGACCAGATTGAGTTCTTGTCTAAATCCAGGCTTCCACGTGAGGGATTTCATGTTTACCCAAATTCTGGTCTGAGTGTCTAATGACCAGGCTCCAGCGGGCATGATGGTATGAAAATTATGTGAGTAGCAACGAACCATTGGTCCGAACCGATTCGGGGGTTTCCAAACCCGGGGAATCCCTTGTGTGGGAAGGGGTTCCCGGGGCAAAGGTATTGGCCTCTCCCGAATGTATCCAGAAAAGCGGCAGAGACAAGGAGACTTATGGTATCGCAGCGGTCACGTGCACGCCACGCTGAACCGACCAACATCGGCTCCCCACGACGGGTGCTGCCCTGGCTGGGAGTTCTTCGTGGGATGTTGCGCCTCGGATCTTGTGGGGAGACAGGGGTCCTTGCCAGTATAACGAGGTTGATTTTGTCGGGATTTTTGTTTATTGCAGTTTTGTGTTGATTGCCTTCTGAAGGTTTTGTCAACTTGAATGGTGCGATGCTTGGGAGGGAGCCCTTTCCCCGCTTTACTGGAGGTAGAGTGGAGGTAGCCAGGGACCAGGAGGAAGGCCCCTGGGAGACTGGATTCCTTTGTCAAAATCTGGGCTAGAGCAATGCAACATGCACAGAGGTGCTGTGCAGAATACTCACTGGGACAATCTTTTCGCGGAAAGCCATCATTCTGATGATTGTTGGGCCAATCAAGTCAGGATCAACCGCCGACTCCCGCATTACTCCGGAGAAATCGAAGAGGTATTCTGATTCCCCTTGTACAATGGGATTCCCCTTGTGACTTGAAGGTCTACTTTGAAGTGGTCAGTCTTGGTTTCATTTTGTCAAAAGGTGTTCACTGCCCGTAATTAAACAACTACACCAGCAGAAATGAGTTTCTGCGCATCGCCCAGAGGTTCTCCTGCCAAGCCCTTCCCGGTTTCTTTTGCCTGAGGGCCCGGTTTCGTTTGGACCTCCCGATCAGACTTTTTTTGAGACTTCGATGAAAGGGGCAAGTTTGCTGGCCTCAAGTCGCTTGGGTTTGGCAAGGTCCTTGGGCAGGTTATTTTGGGACCAGTGACCTTTGGAAGACCCAACATTAACAAATCAACCCTATCATTACACTGTAAGTAGTCTGGGAAGAACCAAATGTATGCTGTGGACGTTGTACCCGCTGGTAGACAAGCCGCGGCTAAAACGGTTAGAGGTACAGAGAGCATCCCAAGCTTTAACTCTCCGCGAAGGTCCCCATACTTCCCGTTCGGGTATTTTCGACGTCACCGTCTGATTGGACAATTTCAATTGAGCTTTCTCTATTAGTGTCAATGGCTCAAGATAATTGTTGGGGGTGTCCGCAAATTGGATACCCCTTGTGGATGGCGTTTGAACGGCATGAACCGGAAGAAGCCAGCCACTGGTTTTCGGTCTGTTTCCTGGGGAAAAAAAAACAAGCGGGCACTCAGCTTAGTTTTCCGGACCGAGGTGGCTGTTGCATGCTGGCAGAGATGGCTGACTGCGTCGCCCCTTGTGTTTTGGCGTCACTCACTGGAGGCACGCAGCGAAAACGGTCAGCGGATGCCCGCGTGTGGCTAGAAAGAGTTGCATCGCCTATTCGGGGCAATTGATGACGACCGGTTTTTGCAAGAACTGCACTCCGGAAGTGAGGCTCTGTGTTTGGGCTTGCTAGTAACAGAAATGCTTCTGAATTCTTGACTTTGGCGGGCAGGGATCCTCAAAAAGTTCCCGATGCTTTAGCCATCGCTTTGGATCCAGAAGAATTCGGATTTCCGGAGCTTCCCACAGATTCCCCTCCCGCCCTTTGCTTGAAGAACCCCCGCGAGTCGACTCGCGAGGCCTGGGCTTTCTGAACCCAGACGTGCCAAGCAACCAGATGGGCAGCGTGGTGCCCTTCAGGCGTCTGGATTCGCATCCTTCGGGCACGCCGCAACGTGCGGTTGAAACCGAGCGTGTGGGTTGGTTCCTTTGGTCGCGGTTCGGCTGAACTACGACTGTCGGCCCTTTGGGAAACTTGATCGCGTTTGATCCGGGAGCGTAGCAAACCTTGGACAACTGTTCGCAGAGGGTTGACCAAGCTAGCCTAATGTCTTCTGGTGGTTTGCATTTTTTTGGGAGGCATGTGTTTGGACATCGTGAGCCATATTGGTAGGAAGGTGCAGCCGTGCATTCTGTCGGAACGCAAAACGTGGCTTGCAATACTGTGCCATATCTTAACATCCTCGTGGTGTTCTTCGCCTTGCTCATGTCCATGTTGTTTGTGGGATTTGTAACCTGATTTTGAGCCGCCCTTCGCCATTCCTCCTGGTGAATCTGAACCCAAGAGGCCGACTACCCGCCACAGC